GCACTGAGTTCCAAGCGCGGAATGGTGACTGTATTGTGAAGCGGCGTTAATCGGGTGCGTCCCATTAGTAATTTTACGTTGACATTTTGCCCATGTTCAATGCGAAGGTATGCTACGGCACAATAAGCTTGTTGTGATGCGTCCGTGAATATGTGAAGTTGTATGTCATTTGAAGTTGTTTCGTGAGGAAGGATTGCACGTGGGAATGCCATGAACGGTTGGGTCCAAGACGAAGTAATGCTGCGCCATTTGTTTTGTTGGTCCTCGAGGAGGAGTTCGTCCCATCGTAAATGGTCTTTCCATAAGCTTTGTAAGAATATTTTGGCGACGATCGTGATTGGAGAAATGAGTCCAAGGGGGTCGTATATAGAAGCAACGATCTTGAGGATTTGCCGTTTGGTTGGGTATTCCAATTGTTTCTCTAAGAATGGAAGTCGGATGAATATTGTATCCGAAGTGACATCCCACGCGAGTCCCAAAAGTTTCGTGTTTTTGTCGATAGGCGTTTGTTCGAGGGATTGTAGTGTTTCGTTGACCTCCTTGTTTGAAGACGTCCATTCGCGACAATTCATACCTGCAAGTTGAAATAATTTCTTCGTTTCCAAGTACTTCTGTGATGCTTCGTTTGGTGATGATGCAGAAAGGAAGACGTTATCGACGTAGCAGTTTTCTAGTATTTCCTTGGCGAGGGGTGTTGCTGTTCTCGTTAGATGTAGATGGATTGTAGCTGCGAGTAGGAAGGCACTGCATATTAAGCCGAATGGTATTCTCTGGAAGCAGTATGTTACGATGTTTTCTTTGGTAGGTGGTTTGCGATGGTCCTTGAGCCACAGGAATTTGGTGAAGTGGCGATCACTTTTTTCGAGTCCGACCATTAAATAGGCCTTTTCTATGTCGCCGATTAGTAAGATCGGAGCGGAGCGGATGCGAAGAAGAATACCACTCAAATCTGGTAGAAGAACAGGACCTTTATAAAGGCAATCGTTTAGGCTTGGTTCATTATGTACTCGAGCACTTCCATTATAGACGAGACGGATTTTAGTCTGTTTCTTTGATTCATTAATGACAGCATGATGTGATAGAAACGTACCTGATGTCTGATCAAGTGTTGGCGGAGGCTCGCCAATGATACCTCGTCGAAGTTGGTCCTGTATAATCTCGTTGTATCGGTCCAGATATGAGGGCTTCTTCGCTAACGTTTTCCAGTTAGAGCGTAGGCAAGCTAGGCTGTGGTCGAAGTTATTAGGCACTGATTTGGTCGTATCGGGCGGTGCTGTTGAAAAAGTCGAGGCAAATCGTGTCCTCAGAGCGTGTAGCTTCGTCTTCTGGTCCTAGAGATTCACATTTCCAGAAGCGTTCGACCAGTGTGTCCAACTGCGTTTTATCGAGTGGATGATCCTCGGAGCTTTGGATTGCTGAGTTGATTGCTCTCGTGTTGAATTTTTTGCCTGATATAACCTTGCCGAGTCTTGTATTGAGCAAATAGTAACCATTTGGCAGAGTGATGGAATAAAAGGATGGCGATAGAACGAGATTCCAGAAGTGGTCCATGCCGATCAGGATTCCAGGAGTTGTTGACATGGTCGGGATGTCAGCACCGTAAACGTCGATTAGTAAGTGGTCCAGAGGAGAAGCTGGTATCTTCAATGCTTTGGTGAGGAGGGGTAGGGACTGAGCGGAAATCATGTATGGTGTTCCATCGCTGAGTTGTACTTGGATAGTGTGAAGATGAGACTTCAGTGTCGTTGGAGAAGATGTTCCAAACGTGTGGAGCGTGATTGTTTCCGGTGTGGTGTGATGAAGTTCCAATTTTTCCGCAATTTCTGTCGTGATGTAGGTGTGTGATGAGCCGCTATCGAGGAAGGCGACAGTGTCCACTTTTTTGGAGTTGTCGGTAGGGTTCATCA